GCATTGGTCTGTACATGTTTATGGATCAGTTATTGATCTGAATTTGGCAGGGTAGGGAGTGGGGATCATTTACAGCACAATGAAGAGCATTTTGGCTCTGGTTGCACATTTCAGACTGGAGGCAAGTGCCTTATCTCCTCCTTTGTCTCATCCACTTCTGATCCCTTGTCAGTTATTTTAACATCCTTTGTATCCCACCTGACCCCTCATTTGGAAGCTCTTTGAATCAGATATTGGATTTGCTATTCAGTGTCCATTTGGCATTGCAGCAGAAATCAAACTGTAATTAATAAACTTCTGTAGGGCTAGGGCACCAGAGAATGCTTGGGGAGAGATAGCACACCCAACAGCCAGCTGCCCTCCCAAAAGCCAGGAGATTTTGGCATGAAATGAGGCACAGACTGTGCTTCAAGGGACTCTTATTCTCTGTGAGCAAGAGCAAGAGCTGTTGGGAGGCAGGGAGGAAAAGGAAAAAGGCTTTGATGAGGTCCAGCAGTAGAAACCAACTCTGCTGCATGGCATCCCGTCTTCTCCAGCAGACCTGTCCACATTTAATGGGTTTGCTGAATATTCCTGTAATTTCAGCAGCTAAGAGCTGCTGCTGGAGCAGATGAGACAGGGGATGCAGGAGGCACATGAGGCCATGCCCTCACTGGGGTGAGGATGTGCCAGCCCTGGGCACACTGCACATGGTGTCAGTGCCTCGTGGCAGGACAGGGCCCTGCTGGCACTCCCTGCTGCATTTTGGGGATACCCGCAATGCCAGGGGGAGCTTGGCTCCAGGAGAGCCAGCAGCAGCTGGGGGAGGAGTGGGGACACATCCTGCACAGCATCCACGTGGCCCTCACCAGGGTGAAAGCCAAGGGCAGGATGGAGGTGCACTTTTCACACAGGGTTTGGCTCTGCTGCCTCTGCAAGGGCTGAGCAGCACAACAGCAGATTGTAGAGGGACACAGGGCCCTGTAACTCTATCAGCTTTGATCAATTTTTCACTTGAGTTGGGAATACACCAGAGAGCGTGTCAGCGTGCTTTATGGAGGGCTGCAAGTGCCTTCCATGGCTAATCCATAAAATGGGTTCCTGGAAAACAGACATTCTGTTGTCACCATGAGGAGACTACTAAGCAGTGGGGAAGAAGCACAGAAGAGGAATAGCAGGAATCTGCAGTGCCTGCTGAAGCTGCTGGGAGTGCCCTGGCAGGGATGGTGGCCAGCCCGTGTGTCCCCAGCCAGGGAGGACAGGGACACGGGCCCTGCTGCCATCCCAGTGCTCCTTCAGCCCTGGCCCTGCAACCTCCTCACCCTCTGGCCCAGGAAAAGCAACTGTCCTTCTGTTCACGCTTAATGAAGTGGAGCAATCTGGTTTTAGCAATTAGTGGAGACGCAGTGGAAAACACCAAACAGTCCCCAGTGCTTCTGTTCTCCCAGCCCTTAAAACACTGATTGTCATGAACTGGCAGCATTAGCTCCATATTTAGAGCATATGGAGTAGGAAAGGCATTTATTTTGATAATATTTGAATTGTTCTCCCACTTTTCTGAATGCAATGTTATGATACAAGATTAATTTGCTTTTGGAGTATTTACCAGAGCCTTTTTTCTCAGACTCCCAAAGACATCCTGACATCTACTCTCCCTCCCTGCCAACCTATGAATTTTCAATTAATGAAATTGCTCTGAAATTAATCAATTTTTGGATTTCTTTCAAAGCATTTTCTGTGTTTTGAAGCCTGGAGTGCATTTTGGGTACCTTAGCATACTCCCAAAGCTGGAATTTTGCTGTTAAATATTTGCTAGAAGAGTTTCCCCCCCCCCACATCTCACTTGACTTCAGGAGCTGGGAATTAATATAAGCACCAAATATCCTGACACTTGAGATAAAACAGTAAGAGTGGGTGCTCACTGCAGAAGGCCAAGGTGACTGGAGGTCAGAGCTGACAATTACTGTAGGACTGGAGCCCTTTTCACTGCCCCAGCACTTCTGATGCATTGCACAGACTCCTGCAGCCTGAATGTGCTCCTGGGGCACCTCTGTGCAGAGCTCCTGTCCTGGAGAGCAGGGCTGATCCTGCCTACACCTCTGCCAAACCCATTCTCCTGATTTTGTCCTGCTTCTTCTTAGGACAACTGTGGATTTCAAAAGAGGAGAAACAACAACAACAAAAAAAATTACTGAGAGATTTGACTACTTAGGAAATCTCCTGGCTTTTTCCCACAGTTAACTGTTCCAAAGTATGGACATTTTCAGAGATTACCAGTTTGCTGAATACCATTTTCTCCCCTGTGTTCAATCTCAAGTACCTTTTCTTTCCACAGCCTATAAAAGAAGACTAATCCACAAACTGAAAGGCAAACCCTTTACTCTTCCCAAGTCTTGATGCAGGGAGTAATATTCAGCAAGAAGCAATTGCACCATAACTGCTGCCCGAGGCCTGATCCCTACAGGATGAGAACTCAGCGAGTGAGAAGTTTCCAAATGACCTCTGTCAGCTCCTAAAGAGAAAAAGGAAAGCCAGCAGCAGCCCCTGTGAGTGGGAAAGGCCAGCTCGAGCTCAACGTGATGGGATCAGAGCATAGCAGAGAGCAGAAAAGTGTCCTTGCATCCCCATCTAGCGGCTTTGGGTAAAATAAATCTGTGGTGCCTGGCTGGGACCTGCTCTCCTGTGCCACTGCAATCTGCTCGATGGCAGACATGCACATTGCTAAACTCCATCTGCCAAAGCTGCTGCATTTGATCTGGTTCTGTAAATGCTCCTCAGGGTTTGAGAGATGACAGAATGCCAGTGGAAAAGAAGCTTTGACCCAGCTTTCAAAGAAGAGTGAATTTAGATGAGGTTTCTCTATTTAAGAGTGGGACAGACCAGAAAGATTCACAAAAATCAGCCAGTTTGTGAAAGGTGAGCATCCCCCACTGGGCTCATGCCTGCTCTTCCACTGCTTCTTCTCTCTGCTTCCCCATGGAAATGTGGCTCATCATCCTGTGTACATCCCAAGAGATATTCCAGTTTTGTAACATATTTTGGCCTGGCAGAGTGGCTTTTCCTGGGATGCTTTGGCTGCTCGGAGCATTCAGATCCCTTCAGTTCAGATGTGGTGTGTTGGCTGGGCTCAGCCTTGCTTTAACAGCAGGTGAGTAAAAATAATTTGAATTCTGATCCTTCATTTCCTGTCCCACTCAATTCATCCTCTTGAACTACAGAAACCTCTCAGGGACCAGTCTCCAGCCTTACTATTTGCACTGCTGACTTTGAGCTAGGGACAAAATCTGTTTGCTGGCAATTCCTCATGTTTTGGTACAGCAGGATTTGCAATACCCCTGTTTTGGAGAGCTGTTCCTGTTGGGTGTGTTTAATCCTGCTCATGCTGGACTCCCAGCACATGCTACTGGCAGCAGCACAGGTACAGCCAGAGAAATTTAAATTCCAAGTGTGTTTTCCTGGCTGAAGACGTGTGAGTTTTTGAGGGGTAAAAGGCACATTTCACCATATCTGTCTTGGCTCTCAGAGACATCTTTCTTGAATACTGGGTGGGTTGTAGAGCAAAGCTGGTCTTCACCTTGAATCACAGAGCCTTTTTTGCAGGCAGCCACATTGGGTTTTCCCTCTGCCCTTACCTTGGCTCTGTAATTACAACTACATGAGTTATGACCTCTAGTCAAACAGGTTGGAAAGGGTCATTTTAAAAGGTCTGGAAGAGCTGTACCAGGATCCAGGCTTTAATACAGAGGCAGGAAATGTTGTGTTTAAAACAAACAAACAGAAAAAAAAAAAAAAAAAAAAAAGTTCCAAGACACAGATACTTCAGGTTTTGTTGGGAGGTTGAACAGAAACATGTCTGGAGCCCAGCAGCAGTGAGGGCTGCTGCACCCAGAGAGGGATGGGCTCTGCTTCTGCAGTGCCTTTTTTTTCAGTATTTATCAGAAATTATGTTCTTCTTCCCATAGGAAAATATCCTATATAAACATATTTTAAAAAATAGCGTTGCTCAAATTCCAAAATCTACTGCTGCCCAGGATTAAAGGATTAAAGAGAAACAACATTTCTTCCCTTAATTAGAAATCTTGTTGTTAACTGTCAGGAAAATGGGTGCTACAGAATTGCTGGCTGTCCTTCTCTCTACCAGGATTTGCTTGATGGAGAATAACGTGTTTGTATGAAATATTTCACCTGGGAGAGTACAGAAACTGCAGTACTTGAGAGGATTAGTCTGGAAAACTGAAAATATCTAACTGATGAAAACATTTTCATTAAAACAGGAAGAGCTTTGCTCACAAGAAAATCAGAGTTACATTACCTGAGCTTTAATTGATTGATCTAGGTGGATTTGGAAGAGTCTCAAAAAAAAAAAAAAAAAAAAAAAAAAGCAGTAAACATGGAATCATACACTGATTTGGTTTGGAAGGGACCTTAAAAACCATTTAGTCCTAAACCTTCTGCCATCAACACTCTAAAAATGCCATGGACCTCCTCCTGACAATCATCAGCCTAGAAGCTGATTGCTATTTAGAAGGTAAATTCATGGAAATTTGATGTCAGTACCCAGGCTTTCCTGGCTGGAAGTGCAGGTCCAAGCATGTTGTGGTGGGCTGATAGAGATGGAAAATGAGAGGGGCTTGGGGCCACGGGCAACAGCAGCCTCAGACAGGCTTGTCCCGGGGAGAGTGGATGACCTATTTCTGCAGGATCAGCCCAAAACTGATCTCCAGAGCTGCAGAGTGTGGGAGGAAACACAGTGGCTTTGTTTTCCTCTCCTTGCAGCCCAGCTCTGCCTTCAGCCACTGACCAAAAATCAGCTTTTTCAGCTCGCACGGAAAACAGAGCTGAGAGCGGATTTAGTCACGAGCTGGGCAGAGCTGGACTGGCAGAGGGCACATCCTGCAGCAGCTGCCCACAATGTCCCGTTGTTGTGGGCAGAACAAAGGCTGCTCTTGGAGCCTAATGCCAGCTCGGGGCGGCACAGGGACACGGGGAGGGGGAGCAGCGCCCCGCGGGTGTACAAGGAGGCTCCCGAGGGTTGGCAGCTCCAGGCTGCGGGACGTTTCTCTGGGGAGGTACGGCTTCCTGAGGGACCTGGCTTGGGCATGGGGGGCTCAGGGGAGGTGTTGGGTGTCATAGTGACACTGGGACAAGGCAGAGGTGGTTGCAGGGGCAGCGCTTGGGGCTCGGCTGGGAGGCTCCAGGTGCATCCAGGTGCATCCACTGGTGCACGGTTGGTGTCTGGGGGATGGAATCTCTGGTGGGACTTATGGCTGTGTTCGAGTGTCCCAGGACAAGGGAAGAGATGAGAATCTCGACTCCATGTTTCAGAAGGCTGATTTATTATATTATGATATTAGATCATATTAAAATGCTACACTAAAAAGAATAGAGAGAAAGGATCCTTCAGAAGGCGGGAAAGGGGAAGGAAAGGAAAGGAAAGGAAAGGAAAGGAAAGGAAAGGAAAGGAAAGGAAAGGAAAGGAAAGGAAAGGAAAGGATAAAGGATAAAATCTTGTGACTGCCCACAGCCTCGACACAGGTGGCTGTCATTGCTCATCAAGTAAAAACAATTTCACATGCTGGGTAAACAACTGTCCAAATCACATTCCAAAGAAGCAAAACATGGAGAAGCTGAAGCTTCCCAGCTTCTCAGGAGAAAAGATCCTGGCAAAAGGATCTTTCATAAAATATGTCTGTGACAGGGACTGATGAGGGATTGAATGAACTGATGTAAGATCACTGCCCAGGTGGTCACACCAGGAGCCAAAGGTGCACTTTAGACCTAGCCAAGAGGTTCTGGTCTTTCCTCATCTGGAATATACTGAATATTTTGTTGAAGAGTAGCAGTGCGGTTGTTTCTGGGTTAATGTGCTGCTGTGGACCCTGCCTTGAGGTGGATAACTTAAATCCATCTGGAAGCTAAATCTAGTGCAAACCAAGACAGGTCACTTGATGGTGAAGCATCTCCATCTGAGGTCCCTGATCCGAGGGATCTGTGTGGGCCAGGAAGTTTTCTGGGCATCTCAGCAAGGACAGAGGTTGTATCTGCTCAATCTATTCTACCAGAGGAGAACAGATTCTGGGAATTCTGGGAATTCAGGGAATGGGAGTGATGAGGATCCCAATGCTGCTTTTCCCACCAGTGTGCCTCACTTGGAAATATAAAGTCTTTAAATCTTTTATTTTTTACATTCATGTCATTACATTTTAGGCAAAAGGAGCACCAGCCCTGTGGGAGAGGGTAGGGGAAAAATCCAGAGGCAAGTGCAGGGAGCACCCAGGATTTTCTGTATTTCAAACAGTGACCACTGCACCTTCGTGGGGACCTCCAGCCACCTCTGTCGTGGATAGATGTCCCCAAAAATGTTTCCTTGCTTTCTGATCCCTGCGGTTTAGCAAGCAGAGTGTGAGCAGGCTGGGCTCCTGCCCCCATCCTGGCTGCCTGTCCCCCGTGCCTTGCCTGGGGCAGGACAGGGGGTGCCAGGCTGCCGGGGCTGCTCGCTAGAGGTTCTCCCTGAGTCACAGACGGAAAAATGGCTTGCTCAGCTCTCCGGGCAGCCAGCGAGCTCATCTGATCCCTGGGGAAGGCAGGGATCTCCCAGCGCATCCCCCATCCCCCAGGCAAGGATGCAGGAGAGCGTTCCCTCCCGCCCCGGGCGGCGAGCGGGAAGGAGAGCAGGCTCAGACACATCAAAAACTGGACAGGAACAGCCCCGCTCGGCCCGGCTCACACCCCTCGGCCACTGCCGCTCGGGCTCCGAGGGCTCGCAAGTGCCAAGGTGTCCCTGTGTGCTCTGCCCCGCTCCCTGAGGACACGGAGCTGCGAACGCCCGGCCCCGCTCCTGCCCCGGGGCTCGGGTTTCCCCCTGTCCCTGCCCCGGTGACGCTGCCTGTCCCCACAGGTCCGGCAGAGCCGAGCCGAGCCGTGCGGGGCCAGCCGGACATGCTGACCTGGCCCGGCTGAGGCAGCCCCAGCCCCGCTGCCGGGAATCGCAGCGTGTCCCGGGCTGGAAGCGAGCCGCGAGGAGCATCAGCCCAGCCCGAGCCCCGGCACGGCGCCCACCCGGCATGGAGCCCGCTCCCGAGGGGAAGAGGTACGCGGGCTTGGGCAGGCAGGGATGGTGTTCCCGCCTGCCGTCTGCGCCACGGATGGGTGTGTGCGAGGTGGGAGGAGCAGCAGATGTGCCCGTGTCCTGGGAAGGATGGGGGATAAGGGGGAGATATTTAGCCCCTCCACAGCCTAAGTTTAGCAGTAATGAAGTTTATGAGTTATTCTTGCAATTTGTCTTCCTAGAGAAAACTGTCTCAACTAAAGAGGCTGCATCACCTAAAGTAATAATGTGACTTCCCTGCAGCTGCTGTCCATGTTGCACCCAGCTCTGTTCATGGAGGGAAGAGGTTTAACCTTGCAAGCTCAGTCTTAGCTGGGAGCTGTGGCAGGACCAGCTGCCCATGGGCATCCTGCTCCCTGGCAGTCCCTGCCTCGGTCCTGCTGTTGGGTGTTGGAGTCCTGGCGTGGGGCAGGACCAGCCCAAAATGTTATTTACAAATTTTAAGATCTGGTATGGATATTAACCAGATTTTAGAGGAAGTTCATTTGTTCCTGTTTCACCTTCCCAGCAAGAAGTGTTAATCAGTCTCAGAATCTAACCCCTGCCAGGAGAAATGGCAAAAGTGTCAGTGGAAGAGATCTTGGCATCATCTGTGCTGGTGAATACTTGTGCTGAAGTCTGTCCAGGTCTCCTGGCAGGTCTCCTGGCATGGCTGGAAACACTTGACCTGTCAGAAATGGAATTCATGTCCAAAGCTGTTCCTCCCTGCACAGGAAAAGCCATGCTACCCTTCGGCATTTTAGTGGGAGATTTACTCTGAAAAGCACCTTGCTGGGTTCACCCAGCTGAGGGGACAAAATAACCCTCTGGGGGTTTTGATGGGCAGAGATGGAAGGGGTTGAGTGGAAATTGGAGGGAGTGGCCTGCAGCCGAGCTAAGCTGGAGATGATGGAGGTGGGCTGGTTCTGGCTTCTTCCTGATGAGCTTCTGAGAGGTCTTTCCAGGGGAGAGGTGAGGTCAAGGTGGTGGAAGAGAGACCTTTGACATATCCCATGGACATGAGTTACATGACTTTGGCACTGAACTCAGATGAAACCAGCTGCTCTTGCAGGACTCTGGAAGTGCCCCAGTGTCTCAGACTTCTGGGACCTCTCAGTATTTTCTTGCCTTCCTTGACCAAAGCAGTGCAGTATTTGCATGTGGCCACTTCCTTGCCAAGTGGCCAACATGGTCCTTACATATTTGTATCTCAAAGCCCCACTACAAACTCCCTTCTTTCCTTTTCCACCTCCTGCCCTGTTTTTTTCTTCACTTGGGATTTTTTTCCTTGGCAGAGGAGACTGTTGGGCTGGGATCTGCTATCTCAGACTGCTTGCCCTGAGGCATTTTCTAACAGCAAAGCCTTGGTGTGTCTAAACACATTATACAGGATATCACCCCTAAGACTTGCTGTGCATCTCGATACTGAAATGTGGTTACCCAGGAGTGACTCTTCCCTTTGCACAGACAGCCTCATCCCAAACCTGTCTTTGCAGAAGTGAGGTCCTTGCATCCCTTCCTTTTTTCCTCACCCCTGTTTTATGTACGAGGCACATTGTCAAAGGAAAATGAAGAAAGGGAAATGTCATTCTGATGCCTTCAGCTGCAATGACTGGTTAATGGTTCTGCAGGGGTATGAAAACTTCCACAGCACATCTCAGACAAACACTGGAGCAGTGGCCAGTAGTGGCTGCCCCATCCCTGGAAGTGTCCAAGGCCAGCTTGGACAGGGTTTGGAGCAGCCTGGGATAGTGGAAAGTGTTCCTGCTGTGGCAGGTGATTGGAATGAGATGAGCTTTGAGGTCCCTTCCAACCAAACTCTTTTATTGACTCTAGGATTCTAGGATTCTCTGGCTATGATCAGCTACAAAGAAGTTTTGGCTTTCTCTAGTAAAAAAGAACAAAATAAATTATGAATTATCAGGAGAGGAAAGTTTGTCCTGGAGCATTTTCCCTTTGTTCTGCATTTTCAGTGCAGTTTCAAAAAAGCATACAGGTTCTTCAAATAACTGAAGTGCTATACTTTCCTTACAGGAATAGTTTCCCCAGCATGAACTTTGAAGCAGAGATTCTGACAACACCACACGATAATTCAGGTATTTGGGAGAAAAAAAAAAAAGAAAAAAAGAAATTAAAGTAAAATGTCCACTCAGGTTGCTATCACTACAAACATGTTTTAATTCTTTTGGAGTCAGAGATTGTTTAAAAAAAAAAAAAAAAAGCAGGATGGTAAAATGACTGCAATTCAGGTGATTTCAGGTTTATGTTAGGGGAGCGTTCACAGTGTTGAGGATAGATATTGATGTGTTTCCCTCCAATAGGGCTGCACCAGGAACACAGCTGCTGAGGACATGTGCTTTTGGAAACAGCAGAGGCATTCAATTTGAGATTGCAGTGTCCTGGATGAGACATACATGGTTCTCTTATTAGTGGTGACTAAAATCAGGTGATAAAAATGCAACTCCTTGAAAGGCAAAAATGAGGATGAAGCTATTCTGCCAAGTCCTGTCCTTCACCCTCATTTCATTTAAGAGGAATAGCTGGTTTTTTTCCCCACTGAATGATGCCTTCCAGCATTGATCTGAGACAGATCCAGCACAGCAGGGCATCTTTTCTTAGTCCTGCCATTGCTCCTCAGCCCTGAGCAGCTGGCCAGAGCCTGTGCCCTGGCAGCTGCCCTGTCTTTAGGATGGGACAGCAGGAAAAGGAGACTTTGCAATAATTGCTTGGAACCCCTTGAGTATCCCTGGGTTTTGGCTCAGAGAGAGAGATCTTGGTGTCAGTCAACCCATTTGAACAGGAGCCCAGTGAAATGTTTTGCCATCAGTTGCTCTCCTGGCCACAAGCTGCAGGTCCCAGCAGGGAATTCCCCTTCGTGGCAGCCCATTTCAGCCCCCTGCTGTCCAGAGTCACAAGTGAGATGCACAGGGTGGACTATTTTTGCTTCAGCTGCAGGTGGCAGTGTTTGTGTTGCATCATCCCTCCTGGGAAGTGTGCCAGGATCTGCCCCCCATCAGTCACACTGTCCAGCACGGGCACCAGGGATGGCCTCAGGTTTGGACCCACCCTGTGACTCCCTTCACCTTTTTTTAGTCTTCCAGAAAACCTTTCCAATTCCATCCCTTGCAAACAGAGCTCCCCACATCTGGCCAAACATTTCGGAGACATTTTCCTCAGGCTGTCCTGTAATGAAGAGTCACTTAGCAAACATGCTGATGTCAAAGGGTGCCCAAGAATAATTTTTGTAACCCTGAGTGTGAACAGGTTGGAAAGTGCATCCTCTGCATCGTTGTCCCAAATCCCTGGTTCCTGTTTGGTTAGGTTGGGTTTCTCCCATGAGGTAAGTGCCTCAAAGCCTCTAACATGCAACCCTTGTTTGTTTCCCAAGAGCTCTACATGATCCCTTCCATGAGGAGCCTCACGGCTGAGGAGTATGTGGAGGCCTTTAAGTCATTCTTGGAGCACTCAACAGAGCACCAGTGCATGGATGAGTTCAACAAGGAACAAATGCCCACCATCGTGGCTGGGTAAGGAGCACGTCCCCCGAGGTGGGAAAGCCATCTGTCATCCTGGGAGTCAGCAAAAACTTCTAAGGATTTTTTTGGGGCAGGAATGAACTTTAAATGCTTTTCAGTTTTAAGTCAAGCCCTACAAGTGGTCTTTAGGATATTCTGTTTAATGACTCCAGAGTACGTGCTGTTTCAATTAATACACTGTGCTGCCTCAGCTTATGTTAAGGAAAGACTCAAGATCTCATTCTCATGTCCATCTCTTTGCATTAGCTGCTTTTCCCAGGATTAAAGTTGGGGTTTTTTTTTTTTTTTTTTTTTTTTTTTTTTTTTTTTTTTTTTAAAAAAAAGTTCTTTTTTTTTTTTTTTTTTTTTTTTTTTTTTTTTTTTTACTGAAAGAAAGCTCTCTTGTGCTCTCTCCCTGCTTTTGGGACTTCATCACATCCATCCAAAAACACATCTCTAATTCCCTCCTAGTGGCTAATTTGTGGTTTTCCAGTCCCCTAAGACCTTCTTATTCCTATCCTAAGTCGATTTGCATTGCTTAAGTACCAAAAGACAATCAGTTTTTTAAAGTATTGATTTAATATCTTAAGGCTGGGTAACTGCAGACAGCTTCAGAACAGCCTAGATCCAAAGCACAAGAAAGTCCTTTCAAATCTGGGTAATTTTTGGACATTATAGTAACTGTATTTTTCCCATTGAGAAAAAAAGGTTAAGCAGGCAAATTTTTATTCTACAGATCAGATATATACAAAACATAATATTAACTTATTAGTTATAATAATAATAGTAGAAATAATAGATATAGAATTATAATCAAATATTATGTTAAGACATTTTAATTGTTAATTTAAATAATGGACAAAATTGTGGCTTTCCATGATGCTGATTTTGGGTTTGTCAAAGGGTCTTGACCCTCATTAGGGCTAAGGCCCCTGGACTTGCTCACACCCTTCAGGACGTGCTACTCATCCATCTCCTGTGGAATCATTACTGTGGTGCCTCTTGAGTGCTTGGGTATTCTGCTAGGAAGCATGTGACTGGAGTAATTTAATAAGCAATTTTTCTAAGGTAAAAAAATTATTGACAATTCAGACCCTCCTCCCAATTTCAATTACAAGATTAATGTTCATAAGAGATGATTTCCAGTCACCTGGATAGCCTCATGGTTTTGTTTTTTCTGGGTATTTATATCCAATATTCCCTCCTGAGGCTGCTGAGGTTTTTCTCAGCTCACCTTGTCCCTGCTTCCCCAGCAGTGCCATCCCAGTCAGGGACACCCCCTTTTCCCTGGGCTTCCCAGAGGCTTTTTTTGCCAGCCACAGCCTGAAGAAATCTCCTTGGCAAAGGGTGAGAAACTCTGCACCATGGTGCCTACTGTACTTTGAAATATGAGCTGGCTGAGCCATTGGTTATCACCAGGCTCAAAAGGGGTGACCAAATTTCTGTCCCAATTCATGTGCATAACATGAAAATATCCAGGCTGAGGTGTCATCCAAGGTGTAAGAATGAAAGCATGAAGGGATGTGACACAGCGTGGGTAAGTAATTTTATTTATATGTGTATATGTGTATTTATCCTTTCAGTCTGGGTGCTGGAAAATCGACCCTCAGCGTTCTGGGAGTTGGGAGTGGCACAGGTGAGGAGTGTGGGGATGGGGCATGGGGGGAAGGAGATACAGGAAAATTGAGCACTGGGGATACTCAGACATTAATGGCAGCATTTCCCACTGAAGCACAGAAGGGCAGAAGGAAGAGTGGAGCTGGGATAAGAGGAGTGCTCCTTCCATTCCTTCCCTCTCCATCTCCCTTCTGAAAGACTGCTGCTCAGATCTTTCTGGGCAGTGAGAAATGTGTGATTTTAGCTTAGTTTCTGCCTCTTGGTGACTCTCACTTTATTTGCCTCAAAGCAAGGACTCCTCCTTCTGCTTAGGTACAAGCGCATCTTCAAACCTTGTTGGAGAGAATTAGAGACATGGGAGAGGTTCTTTCCACCCAAAATCCTACCTTAGACTATCTCCCCTGAAGGGATGTCTCCTTTTGCTTTGCTTTTAGGGATCCCAGAGGCCAAGGCTGGGCAGTGCCCTGCTCTCAGTAGTGCAAAACCACCTGGCCACAACCATTAGCTGTTGCAAAGCTGCATCAGCTTTTTCAAGACGTGTTTCTTTGTTACTGCTTTGTTTTTACCCAGTGATAAGTAGGGTTTAACTGCAAATGATATTTTTCCCCAGAGAGAAACCCATCCTTTGGAAAAATAGCTTTAAAGTTGTTCTAAATGCATTTGTGTTTAAAAAAAGCCAAAACAACAAAACAAAAAAAGTGGTGAACAGCCAACTTTGCTCCTAGGGAAACTGGGAGAAAATAAACAGTAGAGAAAAGAAGCGGTGGTTTGATTTGTCAGAGTTTACTTCTGCTTTGAACAGTATTTTCAGCTGAATTTTAAGTGCTAATACTTTCAAGTGAAAGCATTTTTCTCACTTTTTTTTGGTTTTGTTTTCCTGAGTAAGAGAAAATTAGCATTTGATTGTTTTCCCCAAGTGGGAATATGTTGGAGCATATGAGAAACCAAGCAGGAAGAAATGATTCAGTTCTCAATTACCCTCTATTTTCATTAAGTAATATAAAACAGAAATTCTGACTCCACAAAAGCACAAGGGGGAAATGAACTTTTAGCATCGTCCTTAATTTTCCTTATGTCCTCTTCAGAGGAGGTTTTAATGGAAAAATAAACCCTCTCAAATTTCCTGTGCTTCCTGGGTGAGTGCCCCTCACAGATGCCAGGACAGGGGTCCAGACCTGGACCCCCCACCTCCAGCTTGCTCATGTCTGCAAGAGCTGGGGCTGGGCAGGGAGTGAGCTGGGATGGCACAGAGTAAAAGGTTATATCTGATCCCTGACCTTTTCAGAGGTGGACTCTGGTTTCACAGAGCCCCCAGAATTAGTTTAGTTGATGAAAATATTAGCGGGGATTAGTGGCCGAATCACATCCTGAAAGCTTCTGTTGTGTTCCAAATCACGTTTTATCACTCACCCCACGTTTGCTCACGGCTAGATGAACTCTGAGCTGGAACTTTCCAGTTGCAGAGAGGTTCCAGTCCTGTCCCAGCCTTGCTGTGGGCAGTGCTGGAGGGTTGCTGCTGGCAGGGAAAGCTGCAGCAGAGAAATTCCTGCCCTAGAGTGCTGTTATTTTACTGCTTGTTTTTACAGACAGCCTGGTTGAAGATGTTATTACCTGCTCTTGCAAACACTGCATTAAGGAATTTTACAGAGGTGGAGTGAAAAAAACTCCAAACTTCAGCAGCTTTTAAGACATCCACCTGCTGTTAATGTAACATTTGCCTCCATCAGTGCCTCCAGGGCATGGGGCAATGATGCTCTGCCTCTGGCCCCGCCCCAAGCCTGCAGGCAGCTCTAAGGGCACTTACACACTGGCATCTAGGACTGTCACAAATGATCCAGTTGCTTGCTATTGGGATCTGCCTTCCTGTCAGCAGTGTTGGTCCCTGTACCTTCAATGGATGCAGCCTCAGCCTCCTCCCTTGAGCTTTTGGCCAGCCCTGCCCTGCTGCCACTGCATTCCTCACGGGCCTGGGGTATTTTTAATCCAATTTCAAAGGACTCCTCCTTCCTCGGATGTCCCAGTAGTGCTGGCATGGCTGATATTTCCTTCCTTGAATTCTATGTACTGCAGCACCTGCCAAGGATGACAGCTCTTCCCGTGGCTGGTACATCAGCTAAAAGAGCAGGGAGGATGCAGGATCTCCTGTCAAGACCTCTCTGTGTGACATTTGCAAGGCCAGGGCTATTTTTAGGCCCCACCATCAGATACAGAGGATTCTTGCAGAGGTCTCATCAAGGTGGTCACATCTGCTGTTTATTTACATGGTTTGAAGAGATCCAGGGGCACTCATACACTTGGCATTTCTGGGAAGTAAGCACCATGTCCTGTATCACTTCAGAAGAGGCTGGAAATTTCCTAGAACAGGAGGACAGACTACTGCTTGCTCCTCCAGAGCTCACAGAGCAGCACAGGAGCACCAACAGCTAAATTTGCAGGGCACTTCCACACAAATATGTGAGTCTCTACCTGTATTTCCAAGATAACCATCAGTTAATTGGTGCCCTGGGCTGAGACCATGTGGAGAATCCCCAAAGAGGGAGGATCCAGGATACTGCATGTCAGTGGGTCTTTTCTCTTGTGCTGCAGTTCCCAGGTGCTGGGGCTGTGTCACAGCAGCCACTGTGTCCCAGTGGCAGCCCCAAAGCTGTGGGCCACCCCATGCAGCTGTGTCAGCTGCCTCCTTGCACCCATTCAAACTTTGTGGGGTTGTTGAAACCTGTTTCATGGTTATTTTTGTAAACAGTGAGCTGTGATTCTTGTGGCCTGTCTGTCCCACAACCCAGGGTATTGCCATTAGCAGGTTTCTGTGCTGCTGCTTGTCTCTGCCTTGTTCTCAGGCTCCTCTGTACCCCTCTGTCAGCCTGAGCAGTACAGTAGCATGGCAGGAGTGTCAGCAGGCTGTGCCACCACATGAGCCACAAGGCAGAACATGGCTCACTCCTGCTGGGGGATTTCCTGCTGCTGCACTGGCATCCTTCCATTGCATTTACCTGCTTTCTAAAGTAGTGAATTTGTGTTTATTGAATAGGTGAGCAGGATTTGAAAATGATCAGGATACTGCAGGCTGTGCACCCAGGGGTCTTTATTGACAATGAGATTGTGGAGCCCAACCCACAGCACGTGGCAGCTTACAAAGGTAAGGCTACACCTGCTGCCTGGGTTATAGCAAGGACCAGCCATCTGAATGATGAGTTTTTCTGCTGTTTTATGAAATTCAGGGTTTTCTTCTACTTTTTGAAACAGAGCTGGTGAATCAAGCCCCAGACCTGCAGAATGTTTCTTTTATTTGGCACCAGCTCACTTCCTTGGAGTATGAACAGCAGGTGAAGGAGAGAGGCACACATAAGAAATTTGACTTCATCCATATGATCCAGGTAATGGCCATTTCTTTAACACAGGACTATTGGATTTAACTACCCCCTTCAGTTCTGCTCTATGCTTGGATTTATGACCAGAGCTGAGCACTGCTCTCCCACAGCAATTCTTCAGAAGCTCTACAAACACCAAAGGTGGCAATGCTCAGTGCTGTGAGGTGTCCCTAAATGGGCATGTGGAATCAGGAAAGGCTGGCAAGCATCTGGAACAGAATTTAAAACACCTCTAAAAGAAAGGGTTTAAGCCTTTGGAGGGTCATTGCACTGTGGAGGAAGAATAATGGCTGTGTGTCACTGTCTCTTGTAGATGCTGTATCGTGTGGAGGATATTCCCAGTACTATAAAGTTTTTCCACAGCTGCCTCGACCATCATGGTAAACTCCTGATCATAATTTTATCAGGTAAGGGAGACCTTGTACTTTTTGGGGTTTTTTTCTCCATTGCTTGAGTTTTGAAGAGCTTTGAAGTTTGAGAGCCACAAATATTTATCTAGTGATGTCAGTGGTGCTTATTCTATAGTAAATAACTAAAAAAATTGCTGGATTTCATATGGAGAATGCAATTTTGGGCTTAGCCTTGGGCCCCAGTGTCTGATGGGGTCACTTAGGCACAGCCTTTGTGCTCTTGCTTCTCTGCTTGTAGAATTGATGTAGTAGAGAGAAGTGTGGCTGTCCATGAACGAGGGTCCATCCTTCCTCATGGTGAAATCAGCACTGTAAAAACACACCCTGAGCTCTGGGTGGACTCATCCTCAGGGCTCTTTGTACAGCAATGACCCACAGCCCAGAAGGACAGCAAATGCTGCTGAGAGCTGCAGACTTTATGGCAGGACAGGAGAAAAGAAGAACAACATGATGGCACTTCTTAAAAGAATTGAGTGTTTCATCCCTTGGTGCCATTCATGAATCCCCAGCTCACGGTGTGGTGGAAAAAGCACAAATTCCCATGTTCCCCATAAAAACTGCCTCTCACATTGCCTGTAGGCTGTTTCCTTGCTGTCTGAGGCTGCTTTTTGAGGCATGTCTTACTCAATGAGCATTAATAACTGAGGTTTGATGTGATAACATCTGCACTGCTTTGGCCACGGCACAGTAAAGAGGCAGCATGGGATGTTCAGGCTCAGCACATCGGCACCTCTGTGTGACCCTTCCTCCAGAGCAAATTCAGTGCTGGAGCCATCTCCTAGGAGTTTTGTTTCAGCAGGGCAGTTTTGGAGGGAGGGCTGAGGGAAACCAGGGTTTTATGAGGCGCAGATATTTATAAGTATTCTCGAGGAGGGGGAAAGCTCTCCTCCTGCCCTGTCAAGGCTGGGCCAGCAGCGAGGGAGCTTTCCAGCTCATTTCATAGTTGATTAGCTGGTGTTTGACTGCCTTGGCTTTCCCATAATCTTCCCTGGTGGCCCTGCAGACACCAGCGGCTGGGCCAGCCTGTGGAGGAAGCACAGGGACTGCCTGCCCGCCACCGACAGCGGCCACTACATCACCTGCAGCGGCATCACGGAGGTGCTGCAGAGGCTGGGGGTGCAGCACCGCGTCTACGAGCTGCCGTCGGGCTGGGACATCACCGAGTGCTTCACCGAGGGCGACGCGGTGGGCGGCCGCATGCTGGATTTCCTGACGGGCACCAAGAACTTCCTGGGCACGGCCCCGGCGGCGCTGCGGCGGCGGCTGCGGGAGGCCCTGTGCCAGCCCGAGTGCAGCAGCACCAGGGACGGCAGGGTCATCTTCAGCAACAACCTCAGCATGATCGTCGTGGACTCCTAGAGCCCGCAACCCACCTGGGCTTGTTTTTAACACCGTGTGGCCTGCCTGTGCTTTCGCTGGGACTTGCCCTGCTCTGTGGGGCGGCGGCACGTTTGCACAGCCACGGAGGGGCCTGCGCGGCCTTGGTAGCCCCTGGGCCGGCCCGGTACAGACCTGCTGCTCCACTGTGCCCGCGATGCCTTCTGTGCCAGCCGGGTCGCCAGAAACTGGTTCCGTGTGAAGGCTGGCCTAGAACAGAGACTAGACAGAGCTAAAGAATGAAGTAGGGATTTATTAGGAGGCCTCAATGGATCCACCTTGGGCAGTACAAGAGCCCAGCCAGGGCTGCACCCAAGATGAACCAAAATGGTCCTAAAATGCACGACCGCTCACAGGGTCTGTCACTGTGATCAGCTCTGCTCCATGTGCATATTGCAGTTCATTGTCCAATTCCAGCTTTAGCCCATGAAGTCCCATCCTTCTTGTTTTTCTCTCTTCAGCCCATGTTGTTTGTGCTCTTGGGCCTGAGATTTGGATCATTTGTCCTTGGTCCCCAGCTAGAGAAGGAATTGTTTTGTCTGCCTCTCTCTGTGATGAGAGCTCACCATCCTCTAATCTGAAGCTCAAAAGTATACCCTAATGCAGCACAGAATCTGAAAAATATAAAAGCTAAAACCTGAGGCATCACCAGGGAAAGTATACTCTAATGCAGCACAGAATCTGAAAAATATAAAAGCTAAAACCTGAGGCATCACCAGGGCAAAACCAGCAATATGTCCCTGCTGCTTTGCACCCTGGTAATGTCACTGCACCCAGGCCCGAGCTGTAAGTTACTCTGCACTAGGCTATTTCACGTGATTTTATTGGCACAGACATTTACTGCCCCAAGTCTCTCAGTGTCTCACAATATAGACATAAAGTCTTAAAAATTTAGTCTTAAAAATTTATCAGCCTTTTTGTTTGGAGAATATTTTGGAACCCAGGATGGTACTTGCCCTGTGCTCTTTCAGGCAGACATTAATTTTGTTACTTTCTTACTATTGTTTATCTCCATATAAAATAAAAGCAATCTTAAAACAAAAAAAAGTCACGTCTGGTTCTGCACACGTGGGATTATAGAAAATGAAGAGCAAAGAGGTCATTGAGTTAAAAACCAAAAAATATGCAAAGTACCATTTTATGGAAGGCATTAAGGGTTTGTTGTGAGTGAGAAAGATGAACCTGAGGATGTGGAAGGGCTAAGAGAGGACTGCAGCTTGTCCTTGTGCTGCAGCCCTGGGAGGCAGCTTGGCTCTCTTGGAGCAGCATCACTGCAGCTCAGCAAAACAGCACTAAAATGGGATGTGTGTGGTTAAAATGTTATTGTAGGTAAGTTAAGACTATTTCCCAAGGGCCCTGAGGTGCCCAGAGGGCTGAAGGAGGTGCTGCCAGGGCAGCCAGCTCCAAAGGGAGATGCCACTCAGGATGTCAGTGCGGTTTGGTTCTGCATTTGGCACCGTGGTGCTGTGCAGACCTTGGGGAAGCTGCCTGCAGCGCCAGCAGCCTCATTGCAAACAGCTCTGAGGGGGGAAAACCCAGCTCAGGTGGGAAATACGTGCAGGCACAGAAGCCATCTATCTCTGTGTTTGATTTTTCCCTGCTTAAGCTGGGTAGGACACACTTATGTGCACCTGGGGGGGCTCAGATGGAGGTGTGGTGTGGGTCAAATGGCTTCTTCCTGCACCATGAACAAGTGGGTGGTCACACTGGCTTGCAAGACATTCCATGTCACTGTCACCCAGAGTCCTGCTGATCCTGCTAAAACCGTCCCACCCCACCCAATTGAATGCAGCTGCTGCCAGGGGCAGCATCACCCTGAAAAGGTAACAAACCCATGAAGTCCTTGTGTCTCCACTCTGGTGTTTTTGGTACTTTTATAGGTGTACTTTTTTAGGTTTGGGTTTTATCATATCTTTTTGAAATGCAGCCATTTCTCCTGAAACGACTGTAACAGGAAAAATGAGCAAAACAGTGGGAAAACAGCAGCATGATATCATCTCTTTGGCAGGACTGAAGCACCCTGGCCTGCAAGTACTATTGCTGTCAGTTCCAGAAAGGTCAGTCAAAACTGGACAACCTCCTCCAGAGTACCCCATACCTGTGCACAAGCTTTTCCCTTTGATCCATCCTATTGTTTATTCCACAGGCATCCTCTTTGCTGGTGCTGGCTCCCAGCACTGGGCAGGGAGTGAGCAGCTGGGCTGCTGGACAGGATCTCAGCACTGCTCCCATCAGTGCTCTCCTTCCACTATGAATTCCCATAGTTTATTTCCAATCAGCAGTAGTTTCTCTGTCTCTGCCTGCTAGATTAAGAGGAAAACAAAAGGTACCATAAAACAGGCTTGCTTTTCAAGCTTCAAAGAAAAATCTACCTGTTAGTCTTTGCAGAAATTTGGCACAATACAGGTTTGCCCAGATCTTCCCCAGCCCAAGAGGTTTTCCACCCCTGCACAGACAGACACATTTCCAATAAGCAGATACTCAGCAAGACCCATTTGTGAGCACAGAATTTGCCCACACCATTGTAAATCAATGTGCAAATGCTCAAAAAAAAAAAAAAAAAAAAAGAAGCACTTCAAAGCAGATTGTTTAGTGACAGGCTGTGGAGATGAAACAGGGCACCCCATTAAAAACACAGCTGATCAATGCTATATATGTATTTTTTCCTTTGATTCTTCAAAAGCAAGTAGTTTATCAACAACTCTGCTTATATACCTGGAATAAATAGCATCCTAAGTGTCCCATTTGTTTGTCTATTTATTCTTTGGTGAACGTGCTGTTTAATAACTATTTGTTTTGCTTTCTAAAAGATGCTCTTCTCCCATGCAGAATTTCAGACTGTGCTTCCCCAGCAACAGGAGTATGGCCACGAGAGGGCTGCAGCAGCCAGCAGAATAAATCCACCTCAATCCACCTCCCAAAGCTCTGGAAATGCTGAGCTGAAGTAGCAGAACCAGACATTCAGGCAGACAAATGCATTCAGCTTCCTCTGCTGGCTCATCACACCCTGATCCCAGCAGTTGGGACCGCACTTTTTCCTGCTGCAGTCATGGGCTCTGACGCTGGCCTCTGGTTTGTAAAAAAGTCACGATGGCACAGCACAGCTCCCACAAGGGATGCACCAAATCTGCTTTTGGGTTGGTTTTTTTTCTCCCACTCTATGGCTGGCGTGCTGCAGCTCAGCTGCCACAGAGCTCAGGTCTGTGGACAGGGACCCAGGAGTGACAGATCCCAGGGAGGGAAACACCAGGAGGGGGATGGCAGGAGTGAGAGGCTGTTTCAGCCCTAGCTTTGAGCCATATTAACTCTGCTGAGCTCAGTCCAGGAGGAGCTGTGCTCCATAATGACTTTCCTGGCAGTTCCCATTAGTGTGGAGCCAGCCTGTGTCTCCCAGAGGGAATTGTGATGCTCCATCAGCACCAGTTTGTTCCAGCCCAGGGAGAAGGCTGTTGTGGATAACCGTGCAGTAGGCTGCCCTGTGCTCTCTGCAGCAGAATCAATGCCTGCAAAACCCAAACTGTGCAGTTTCTCATGGAGCAGTTGCAGATTTTTTCCTGATTTCCAGTTCATAATATGCCCATTTCAATGCACAGCTCTGGTTGTGTTACAGTCCCCTAAAAAGGAGCTATAGAGAACAAGTCTTTACCACATCAAGGATGGATAATTTTAGTTTTACTAGGCCTATATGCAGTCTTGGGGGCTGAATGGTTTGCCTTTGAAGTGTTAAAGCTTCTCTACTCATGAATATCATCAGGGGAAGGAAGGTAGCATGGGAACTGCAAAATCTAGGAGCTGATTTCTGAATAATCTCATTAAAAAACAAGCTCAGTAAAATACTGGAGCATTTACTGAAAAGATTATACTTAATCTCAATAGGGGGGAAAAATAAAGAGACTGAACTTTTTTTCCCTCCCCCTTCAACATTTTCCTACAGAAATCTGTTGAGGCTTCTATCAAGCATGTAGGATTGTGCTCACATTTTTGGAGGTTATAAAGGCCTTCATAGGAATAATAACCTCCTGGACAGAGCTCTACAAAGGTATTTATCATCCTGTTTTTTAAACTAAATATTTTTTTCAAGATCATGTCCTCCAGACTGAGGATGAATATCTAATCCAAGTCTGAAATATCTTTATTATTGAGCATCACTCCTTGTAGTCATTCCCCTCCCTTACTGAAGTATCAACAGAAAGTTAAATCTTGCTAAATGGTGAAAGTCCTCTTAGGCATAGAATGTGTTGTTTATCCCCCATTCTCCTTTAATTCCTGGTTAACAACAAATAAATAAAGAAAGAAACAAATCCCTCCAAGATAAATGTTTGGAGTAGAACCTCCAGCTGGAAAGATCTGGTGCTGAGGAGGGTCTGGGGAACATGTGAGATGGCAGAATCCCAGTGGGGCTTTTCTTCTCATCTCTGAGAAGGAACAGGGAAGAGCAGAACAGGAGTTTCATTTCCACTCCCCACTTCTGATGACACGTTTGATTAGACGTGCCAGCAAATTGCTAGAGAAAACATATGTTTTGTCATACATTGTAGTGATGGTTCCTCTGGTGAATTCATAAGCGTGATAAGGAAATTTTCAGAGCGGTCTCTAAGTCCCTATTGCTTTGTTAACATTTTTTAGCATCCTATTAATCACTCTGTATGTATCTGTCAACAGCTGATATTATGGATTAAGGAAGATTACAGCTCATTGCTCCAGTGGCTGTTTTCTTTAGGATTTAACTCCACAGGCACTTTGCCGTTCACCTCCCTCTGACAAAACCAGCCCCTTGCTTTTGCAAACACTTTGCAGTGCTTCTCTCACTAAGAGTGGGTTTTCTTAAAAATATTAAAAGTGCTCATCCAGGAGGGAAACATTTTGATTTTATTATTTCTGGAAGAAGGGCTAACACACTTTCAGTGCTGAACAAAGAGTCAACAAGATCCTGATTTACAGAGGTTTCCATGCAGATTAATGTTGACTTTGTTTTGTCATGCTTGTGCAGATCATG